TCTACGCAGTTGGGGATGTGTGTGGAAAAGCTCTCCTTACTCCAGGTAATGTGTCTTCCTTACTTGGTGAGGGAGGCCCTGTGTGTTGACATAAAACCAAAGCAGCTCTCCACAGTGAAAAGGATGAGTGTCTTTGTGTCGTCAAAATGGTAGAAATGTATTGAAATAGATGTTGGTTGGGTACCTGACATTTTCTGAATAATATTCATTTTTCCTTAAAAGGCTTAAAATATTATTAAAATGTAATAAAATGCTTAGCGAAGACTGAAATTTTCGTACAGACAATACAATCACTGTCTGGATCAGAGTTGTGTGTGGTGGCAGTAGAAGGAAGTGGCTTTCAGAAGAAATAATTCAGATTGACCTTATGTGACTATTTGGACTTGATGCAGCCAAGACTGACCCTACCTTCCCCCCCCTCAGCCCATACCTCAGCCCGCTTCCAGAGGTAACTAGCACTGTTCCAAGTTCTTTGTCCCACCCCCCTGCATTAGTGACATCACTCCATCTGCTTTCAGCCTGGACCCTTGTGGGGCCTCACCAGCCTTTCCAGAATGTCCCAGAGTCTTACCTCAGGGTGGAAACCTACTCTGGTCACACACCCAAAGCCCAAAGCCCTTTAGCTCCTTGAGTTAAAGTCCTCTCGTTTTTAAAAAAATTAGTTTTTAAAAATTAAATAAAAATTGTGTATCTTTATGGTATACAGCATGATGTTTTGAAATAATATGTATATACCATGGGATGGCTAAATCGAGCTAATTAACATATTTATGGGTTTTTTGTGGCAAGAACAATTAAAACCTACTTTCTTGGCAATTTTCAAGTACACGATACATTGTCATTAACTGTAGTCACCATATTGTACAATAGATCTCTAGAACTTATTCCTCCTGTGTAACTGAAATTTTGTATCTTTTGACAAGAATTGTCTTTGCAAAAGCAAAGTAACAAAATTTTGAAAACTTTATAACATAATCTAGCAGTTGAAAATTACGTTAAAGTGGGTAAAATTTCTTATGTATCCTACCAATACCTTGGGAGGGGGCAACTGTCAGTTTACAATAAATAAAATTGATAACTGATGCTTTTACTAAAATCAGGCTTTTTTATTTTTAGAGACTATTAGGAGTAAAAACAGGCTAAGGAGAATAAATTTTAAGTAAAAAAGCAATCTTACTGTGAAATAAATAGGATTACAAAGTAGAATGGAAGATGCTGGAAACTAATATAGTTCCATAAATATTGTATCAATATCCCCTACCTGATATGTATACAATGGAATATTACTCAATCATAAAAAATGACAGTGATCTAGCATCTCTTATATTTTCCTGGATTAAACTTGAGCCCATTATCCAAAGTGAGGTATCACAAGATCGGAAGAATGGGCTCCACTTGTACTCGCCATCAAACTGGTACTAACTGATAAACACTAGGGTGCTCACATGGCAGTAATACTCTCCAGGGATTAGGGGGATGGGGGAGTAAACCCTCAACTAAAGGACACGGGGAGCATTGTAGAGGGGAAGGGCACACCTCTAACCCTCGCTTCGTGAGGCAAAGACATAAAATGTAACCATAATGTTTGTACCCTCATAATACCCTGAAATAAAAAATATATATATATCCCCTACCTGAAATGCTTGGGACCAGATGTGTTTTGGATTTCAGATTTTTTCAGATTTTGGAATATTTGCATCTTAGAGATGGGAACCAAGTACAAACACAAAATTCATTTATGTTTCATATACACGCTATACATGTAGCCTAAAGGTAATTTAATTTTTCCCTTGGGGGCACTGCATAGACTGTTTCGTGCACCTGCGTTTTGACTGTGACCTGTCATATGTGATCAGGTGTGGAATTCTCCACATTGGTGTCAAAAAGTTTTGAATCTTGGAGCATTTTGGAATTTGGATTTTCACATTAGAGCTGCTCAACCTATAATAGGATATACAGAATTGACACAAGCCAGTGGTTGTGAATTGCTCACTAAGCCATTGATATATCTTCATTATATTGACCTAGATGTTACAGTGAGCATTGGTTTGGTGTAAAACTTTGTTATAACCAGTGTATTAAGCCAGATGGATAAATGGTGAGTAGAACAATTCTGCTTTGTTAAAATGAACCATAAGATAAACACTGATTTTAAAATATCTTTACAGTTGCAATAGCTGCTGGCCGAAAACTTGCCCATCGACTTTTTGAATGCAAAGAGGATTCCAAATTAGACTATGACAACATCCCAACTGTGGTCTTCAGTCACCCTCCTATTGGCACAGTGGGACTCACAGAGGGTAGGTGCTTAAAAACGAAGGTCATTTATGGTTTCCTTCTCCCCACCCCCAACTTTAAATGGGGTCTCTGTCAACTGACTGAATCTATCTCAGCCCCAAGTTACATTCCTTTTTGTTGGGTCTCTTATCACAGTTCCAATTTCCTCCACAACTACTAATACTTTGAGAGTACAGTGCCTTTCCCTCACACTGCTCTGTCTTTCTCTTTGAACTTTTTTTAGCTTTTTTGTTTGAGCTAATTTCAAATTTACAGAAAAGTTGCAGGCCAGGCACGGTAGCTCATACCTATAGTCCCAGCTGCTTCAGAGGCTGAGGCAGGAGAATCATGTGAGCCCAGGAGTTGAAGGTTGCAGTGAGCTATGATGATGCCACTGCAGTCTGGCCCAGGCAACAGAGCAAGACCCTGTCTCAAAAAAAAAAAAAAAAAAAGTTGTAAAAATAGTACAAAGGACTCCTGTATATCCTTCATATTTTTCCTTTATCATTTTCTCATTCTATACGCATACACTTCAGTATATATCTCCTAAGAACAGGCTGTTCCCTTACATAAACATAGCGCTGCTTCCAAAATGAGAAAATTTCAATTGATACAGTATTATCTAAACTTTAAACCTTATGCAAAGTTTGCCAGTTATCTCAAAAATGTCATCATTAACATTATTTTTTCCAAGTTCAGAATTCAGTCCAGATAACATATTGCATTTAATTTTCATACCTCTTTGGTCTTCTTTACTCTAGAGGCAAAATTCCTCAGCCTTTCTTGTGTCTCATATGACGTCGGCATTTATTTTGTAGAATGCTCCTGGTCTTGGTAGTGTTTGATGTTCCCTCGTGATTCGATTCAGGTTTATTTCTGGCCATCTGTCTCTTTTGGTAGTTCAGTATAATTGTTTAGTTTTTTGATAGATGCTTTTTCTATGTGCGTTATAGATGAGGCCATTTGTAAATATGGGAAAGAAAATGTGAAGACCTATTCCACCACCTTTACTCCAATGTATCACGCGGTTACCAGAAGGAAAACAAAATGTGTGATGAAAATGGTCTGTGCCAACAAAGAGGAAAAGGTTTGGAAAAATCCAGTAAACTAAACAGTGCTCTGCCGAGTTGACAGGGATGGTGGTATTTTGGTGTGGTTAAGAGGAAGGAGACTGGGTCGTTAAACCTTATGATTCACATGGACAGTTCCACTGTTACCTGTCTGATACATATTTTGGGGTTCTTCATAATATTTCATTTAGAAAGAAGGTTGCACGCGTTTTAAAAAATAAGGGGCCGGCCGGGCGCGGTGGCTCACGCCTGTAATCCTAGCACTCTGGGAGGC